AATCAAACTGAGCCCCTCCCACTCATATATTTGTCCAATCTCTCTTTAAAGCTACCCAAGGTCCTAGACAACTTAAATCCATTATTTCTGGTTCTTACCTGGTTCGACACCCTCACTTTACCAATATCACCTTTGTTCATGCCCGTCATCCACTTATACACTTCAATGATATCTTCCCTCACTCTACGTCTCATCAGAGAGTGGAGATTTAAGGCTTTAAGTCTATCTTCATATGGGAGATTCCTTACACAGTAAATAATTTTAGTCCTTCTTCTCTGTATGTTCTCCAATGAATCTATATCCATCCTGTAGTAAGGAGACCAAAACTGAGCAGCATAATCCAAATGAGGTCTCACTAGTGAGGTATAGAGCTGTAAAATAACATTTGAACTTCTGTTACTCTCTGCTTTCTATTGGTAAGCCATGCCTCTATCCATGCTAGAACTTTACCTCCTATATCATGAGCTGGCACTTCCCTTAAGAGTCTCTTGTGAGGTACTCTATTGAAGTCTTTACTAAAATCCAAATAAACAATATCATATTCTTTATCACTGTCCACTGCCTCAAATGTTCTATTGAAGAACGTCAGTAAATTTGTCAGGCAGGAACAACTTCTTGTGAACCCATGCTGGGATTCATTAATCAAATTATGCTCTTCAAGGTGACTTCTAATAATGTCAGCTATAACTGATTCTAATAACTTGCCCACCATAGATGTCAGGCTTATTGGATGGTAATTTGAAGGAGTGGACTTATCCCCTGATTTGAATATAGGAACCACATTAGCCAACTTCCACAACTTTGGCACAACACCGGTAAGGATGGACGCATTAAATACACTTATTAATGGCTGACTAAGCTCCATCTTGCATTCCTTAAGTACCCTGGAAAACAACTCATTGGGTCCCGGGGACTTATTTTGCTTCAGTTTGTCTATCTGTTTAATAACCATGTCCCTCATGACAGTAATATTAGTTAATTTAAATTTATCAGGAACTAAATAATTGTTAATTACTGGAATCTCATTTACATCTTCCTGTGTAAAAACTGACAAAAAATAGTCATTAAATAAGGAACACATTTCCAGTTCGTTATCCGTCATCTGTCATTCCCAATTTTCAGAGGCCCTACTTTTTCCTTCACCTTCGTCCTATACACTTGAAAGAACCCCTTTGGATTAGTCTTTGATTCATTAGCAACTCTAATTTCATAGTCACGTTTAGCCTTTCTAATCCCCTTTTTTATTTCTCTTTTAAGCTGAACATATTGGTCAGTAAGGTTAACCTCTCCTCTTCTGATGTGCCTATAAATTCCCCTTTTCTCCCCTAATAGATGCTTTAGCCTCCTGTTAATCCATTTGGGATCATTATTATTAGACTTAATTTCTCTCTGGGGAATGTATATACTCTGAGCATGGTGTACATTATTAAGAAAAAAATCATAAATGCAGATTCCTTCATAATCATAAGTATGATCATCGTCAATAAAATCATTAGCTAGATAACCCCAATCGAGATTTGACAGGTGTTCCCTAAGTCCATTATAATCGGCAGAACAAAAATCAGGGATTTTTACCGTATTATCATTATTCTTTTATTCCAAGTTAATGCTAAAAGTGATGGATTTGTGGTCACTTGCGCTAAGCTCTTCAGTGATCTCCAGATTATTTACGAGTGTTTCCGTATTTGACAAGACTAGGTCTAGCAGATTATTACCCCTGGTAGGCTCTGTTACACACTGCTTCAGAAAACAGTCCTGAACTGTTTCCATAAAGTCACTGGACTCTAGATTACTGGTCAAAGAATTCCAGTCAATTTGACTAAAGTTAAAGTCCCCTACTATCACTCTGTATTTGTGTCTAGAAGCCCTAACAATTTCGTCCCAAAGAAGTCTCCCTCTATCGTGATCCAAGCCTGGAGGTCGGTATATTATAGCTAGAATTAGCTTTTCTTGACCTTCTACAAACTCTACCCAAACAGATTCTGTTACTGTTCCATCTATTTTTATGCCTGTTTTTGTGCAACAGTTAATATTTTCTCGAACATATGATGCAGCTCCTCCCCAAGCCAAGGATTCTGTTTGTTTTATTGCAAACACTTATGCACTGTTGTCTTGGTTTTAGATTGCTACTAACCATAACTCCCAAGTCCTTTTTGCAGTCAGTAATATTAAGATCTACATTATTTAGTTTATATGTGGCATGGTTATTTTCTTGTCCAGTGTTTAGAGCTTTGCATTTGTCTATATTAAACTGCATCTGCCACTTCTCCGATCACTGCATCAGCCTATTCAAATCTTCCTGGAGTGCTCTAATGTCTTACGGAGGAAGAATTCTGTTCTACTTCCCCATGGAGATAAGAACAACTGACTAGAAAATAGAAGAAAACCCAGAGGGGTGTGTGTATATGTATATATATATATATATATATATGCTTGTACATGCATGTGTAGTGTGACCTAAGTGTAAGTAGAAGTAGTAAGACGTACATGAAATCTTGCAAGTTTTCTTTCTTTCAACGCACCAGCCATATCCCACTGAGGTGGGGTGGCCCAAAATGAATGAATGAATTAGGCAACCTGTTATGGTGTCATCAGCAAATTTGCTTATGTCGCTATATATTCCCTCATCAATATCGTTTATATAAATTGTGAGCAACAAAGGATCCAACACTGACCTCTGTGAACACCACTTGTGACATGCCCCCACTCTGATTTCTCCCCATTGATGCAAACTCTCTGCTGCCTATCTGTCAGCCATGCCTCTATCCAGGAAAAAATTTCTACTCCTGTTCAGTGTGCCTTAATTTTCCTCAGTAGCCTCTGATGTAGAACTCTATCAAAAGCCTTACTGAAGTCCATATACACAATATCATATTCATTACCATGATCTGCCTCCTCAAATAACTTGGTGGAAAAAAGTTGGTAAGTTCATAATTCAGGAATGCCTCTTTGTAAAACTCTGCTGAGATTCATTAATCAATTTATGCCTTTCCAGATGGCTATGAATTGCCTCAGCAGTTATTGATTCCATAAATTTTCCCACTATGGAAGTAAGGCTTATTGGTCTGTAGATCAAAGCTGAGGACCTGTCTTCTGCTTTGTAAATAGGTATTACATTTGCTAATTTCCACTTGTCTGGTACTATGCTAGTTTGTAGTGATATGTTGAAAAGACTAGCCAAAGGTTTGCTAAACTTCTCTTTACATTCCTTTAAAACCCTGCAAACAGTTCATCAAGGCCTGGGGATTTGTTCGGTTTTAATTTCTCTATTTGTCTGAGGACCATGTCACTATGTACCCTAATTGTGCATAGTTTATTATCGTCCTTTTCAACATAATTTATAATTTCTGGAATTTCGCTAGTATCTTCCTGCATAAAAACTGAGAGGAAATAAGAGTTAAAAATTTCTCACATTTCCTTGTCACTGTCAATGACCTGATTTACTATTGAGTATGCCAATCTTGTCCCTAGTCTTACTTCTATATACCTGAGAGAAACTTTTTTGGTTTAATCTTCGAATCCCTTGCCACTTTAGCCTCATAATCTCTTTTAGCTTTTCTTATTCCCTTTTTTATTTCTCTCTTTAATTAAATATATTGATTTCTTAACTGCCCCTCTCCTCTTCTGATATGCCTATATATGCCTCTCTTTTCACCAGGTAAGATGTTTTAATCTGTTGTTTATCTATTTGGGATCATTTTTGGCTGATCTAATTTTCCTACTTGGAACATAAATTGTCTGGACAGCTAAAACTATGCTCTGAAAAACATCATATTTGCAACCAACACCACCTACCTGATCCATAGTCAGGTCGTTCCAATTTAGCTTACCCAAGTAATTTCTCAGTCCCATGAAATTGGCCAAGCGGAAGTCTGGGACAGAGACTTGATTGCAGTTATTTAGGTAATTCCATGATATATTGAAACTAAATAACTTGTGATCATTTTCCTCAAGCTCATCATTAACCTCAAGATTATTAATTAGTGATTCCTTGTCGGCAAGAACTAAGTCTAGCAGATTGTTTCCTCTAGTTGGTTTTGTCACAAACTGTTTTAAGAAGCAATCCCGAATCATATCAAGAAAGTTACTAGACTCAAGATTTCCTGTCGTATTGTTCCAATTAATTTGTCTAAAGTTAAAATCTCTCATTAACACAGACATTTTCATATCTAGACACCTTAGGAATTTCGTCCCATAGCAGATTACTGTACTCCCTATCAAGATTTGGGGGCCTACAAATCACACCCAAAATTAATTTGTCATGACCTTCGTGAAACTGTAGCCAAACAGATTCTGTGTCCGCTGCTTCTAATCTTATATTTTGTCTAACACAACATTTTAAATGATCTCTGATATACATCACTAGTGAGAGTATAGGTAACAAGGAGGTTAAGGAGGTATGGGGCAGATTTAAGAATGCTGTGTTAGTGTGTGGCAAAAGTTTGTGGATATAAATGGTTGAGTGCAGGAGAGAAGAAGAGTGATTGGTGGAGTAATGAGGTAAAACAAAGTGGTAAGGGAGAAAAAGTTAGTATATGAGAGGTTCTTACAAAGAAGTGATATAAGGATGGTGGAGTATATGGAAAGTAAGAGAGAGGTTGAGAGAGTGGTGAGGGAGTGTAAAAGGAGGGCATATGAGAGTGAAGTTCTGTCAACAAATTTTGCTGAGAATAAGAAAAAGTCTTGGAGTGAGACCCAGGGCCGGATTTAGGGGAGGGGCCCTGGGGCCAGGTCCACGGGTCCTCCTCACCAGAAGGGGCCCTCCACCAAGTGTTGAAAAATATTTTGACACATTATACTGAGAATTGAATAGATTGCAAAGAGAGAAAATGTATGCAAGAGTTTGAATTGTGGTGGGATTGTCATGTCATTTGATCGCTGGTGTTACATCATCAGTGCGAGCACGTCATCAGCTGCATGACGTGAGGATTACTTATAGAACATCATCATCCTGGGTGTGCAGGGCACTGCAGTATGAATGACTGCTTGATCATGGTCAGTATATGAACAATAGTGTGGTAGAGAGCCGACTACAAACAAGCATGAAGCAAAGGCTGCTGGTGAACCTGACGGTCATGAGCATAGAATCTGACATCCTGCTCTCATTGGATTTTGATGGAGTCATCAGAGACTTTTCTATCAGAAAAGCACGGAATGTACCTCTCTTATAATATTTGATCTGATTGAAGATAACTCCTCATAAGTCTGCAGATTACTTTTGAGTTACACTTGCAAATGAACCGAAAGGGTGCTAAAATACACTATAAATCCAATTTATTGTTTCATTTTCTTCATCTTAAGAGGATGGTATATATATTGAGAAGCAAAAGTTTTCCAAGGAGAAATTTAAAAGTCTTCTAACCATTAGAGTTAGACCTTTTTAATGCAAGGGCCCCCCACCAAACTAGGCCCTGGGCCCCCCACCACCTAAATCCAGCACTGGTGAGATCAGTAATTTGAGAAAGTCTAGGGAACGAATGGATTTGACAGTTAAAGACTGAAGAAGGGAGTTATTATATGGGGAGTTGGAGGTATTGGAAAGATGGCAGGAATATTTTGAGCTGTTAAATGTTGCTGATTTTAGAAAGGGAGGCAGTGATTTCATGCATTGGCCAAGGAGGTACAACAGCCTTTAGGAGTGAGGTCGAGCCAGATATGAATGTTGGAGGTGTGTGAGGCTGTGGTTACAATGAAAGAGGGCAAAGAAGCTGGGATTGATGGGATCCTGACAGAAATGTTAAAAGCAGATGGAAATATAGTTTTGGAGTGGTTGAAAGAAGTGAAGGTATCTAGGATTGGCAGAGAGCATGCATAGCTGCTTTGTATAAAGGGAAGGGGAACAAAAGAGCATATAGATTATGGGGAAAGAAGACTGTTTAGTAAACCAGATAAAGTGTATGGAAGAGTTGTTATTGAAAGAATTAAGGGCATGATGGAGAGTAGGATCTCAAATGAACAAGGAGGCTTTAGGAATGGTAGGGGATGTGTAGACCAAGTGTTTACACTGGAGCATGTAAGCGAACAACATTTAGATAAAGGTAAAGATGTTTTCGATTTATTCGTGGATTTAGAAAAGGCATGTGATAGGGTGAGTTGTAGTTATAGTTGTTGTAGTTATAGTTGCAGTAGATATAGTTGCAGTAGTTACAGTTGCAGTAGTTATAGTTGCAGTCATAGTTATAGAAGTAGAATAGTAGTAGTAGTGCGTGTGCATACACTCACAGCTTGTGTGTGTGTGTGCGCGTGCACAAGTGCTTATTTATTGATTCATTGAGATATACTATTAATTTGGGGAAATATTTAGAAAATTAACATTAATTTTCAGTGATGTGTTTTTTTCATATTGTTTCTACTACTAATGATAACTGTTGAACTGAAATTTTTATCTTTCTTTCAGTTGCAGATAGCAGTCATTATATTCCCAACCCAGCGTGATGATCGTTACGCAGCAGTGAAGCGTCTTGCATGTGTAGAATTAGCCCTTCCGACCCAGTGCATCAACTCTCGCACAATAAGCCAAGATAGCAAATTACGTTCTGTCACACAGAAGATTGCTTTGCAAATTAACTGTAAACTCGGTGGAGAACTTTGGGCACTGAAGATTCCCATGACTGGACTTATGGTAAGGCATAAACTAGAGACTACACTGTCATCTAGAGCCACTACTATTTGTACAAGCACAAGTATGTAGAGAAAGCATAAAAAATTACTGTGCAGCACTGGTTTACTTTTAGCATTAACTAATCTTAATTATTTTTTTAATAAGCCGGCCGTATCCCACCGAGGCAGGGGGACCTAAAAATAAAACAAAGTTTTCTTCTTCTTACAATGAACTGGCCGTATCCCACTGAAGCAGGGTGGCCCAAAAAGAAAAACAAAAGTTTCTCTTTTTAAATTTAATAATTTATACAGGAGAAGGGAATACTAGCCCCTTGCTCCTGGCATTTTAGTCGCCTCTTACAACACGCATGGCTTACGGAGGAAGAATTCTGTTCCACTTCCCCATGGAGATAAGAGGAAATAAACAAGAACAAGAACAACTAACTAGAAAATAGAAGAAAACCCAGAGGAGTGTGTATATATATCCTTGTACATGCATGTGTAGTGTGACCTAAGTGTAAGTAGAAGTAGCAAGACGTACCTGAAATCTTGCATGTTTATGAGGCACCAGCAATCCTACCATCATGTAAAACAATTACAGGCTTTCATTTTACACTCACTGGTACTTCCCTAGGTGGTTGCTGTTGACCAACCTACTACTTAGGAAAAGAAAGTTTCTCATTTTAAATTTAGTGTATTGTATACAGGAGAAGAGGTTACTAGCCCCTTGCTCTCCTAATCTTAAATATATTTGTATTTTTTTTGTGTGTGTGTACGTATATATATAATTTATTTTTTTAATTGTCTGTCTCTCACTAAGATAGGGTGACCTGAAAAAGAAACACTTTCACCATCATTCACTCTTATCACTGTCTTGCTAGAGGCATGCAAATACTACAGTTTAGATGCCCCTCCAAACTGCAGATATCCTCGCCTCTCTTTGAGAGTGCAGGCACTGTACTTCCCACCTCCAGGATTATGTCTGGCTAACTGGTTTCCCTGAATCCCTTCACAAAATGTTACCTTGCTCATACCCCAACAGCTCGTCAAATCCCAAAAACCATTTACCTCCACTCCTGTGTAACGTTACCAAATTTTTACGCATACTGATACCCAAATTTTGGCTGATACTTTTCCTACATTTATTGCACAACGGATATTAAATAACACAGGCAGGTTAAATATTAAATAACTTAATTTCTCTGAGATGACAATGTCATTACTTATTATTTGGCCTGTTATGTTAGTTATTGGTTGCCAAAGGCACTTTCTGATAGGGATGGAGTGGAAGAGGTTTTATGTACAGGGGGTTTGAACATCCAGCAGGTGTGTGTGAGTGTGTTAGATAGGAGTGAGTAGATGCAAGTGGCTTTTATGATTTGATGTGCTGTCAAAGTGTGAGCATGTTATCATTTATGAAGGGAATCATGGAAACTGATTACCTGAACTGGAGTCCTATAGTAGGGAAGTACAGAGCCTTCACTCTAAAGGAGGAGGAGGTTGGGATGTTGCAGTTTTGAGTCACTGGACTGTAATGTCAGCATGTCTCTTGCGAGACTCATAGAATGAATGATGATGAAAGTGTTTTTTTTTTTTTTTTCAGGTCATTCTACCTCAGTTGGAGATGGCCAGTGTGTAAAAAACATTTAAAAGTGTTTAAAAATAGTATTAATTTAGTAGTTAATTATTTATTTCTACAAACATACCTAATGTAAAAATAGTTCTTTATATATCCTGCATTATAAACATTTGTTTGTTGTAGATACAGTAAATAAAAAAAATGCTAAGGGTTTTATTGATGCCATGTACTGCAGGTTTTCTACACAGACAAATTTGATGTACCAAACTGCTTGGGTTTTTGCTAATATAAAATTTACATAAAAATGTTTAGTTTAAAAATTTGAATGAAAAAGAGAAAAACTAGATACTGCATTTATTTGTTCTTGAATTTGCTTGAACTTTAGTCTTGAAGAACGTATATTCAACGGGGTACTGGTATTGAGGTACAGATAAAAAAAAGAAAGGCTTAATGATTTTTTATGCATTAATTTGTAAAGGATGTCATAAAATTTAAACCCCTTCTCCTGTATAAATTACTAAATTTACAAGGAGAAATTTTTGTTTTTCCTTTTAGGCCATCCTGCCTCGGTGGGATACGGCTGGTGTGTTGAAAGAAGAAATGATGAAGTTTAATATTTAATACATTTTGGTACTGTAGCTTTTTAATTTTTGGTGACATTATATTTTATGAATTGTAAACATCCCCTCACCGATCACTGGTTATTTTTGTTTCCTTGACTGCACTTTAAATGTATTTTTTTTTTTTTTACCACCAGCAAGATAGGGTCACCTTCAGAAGGAAATATTTTCATCTTTCAAGAAATGTGTAGACATCACAGTTCAAATACAACATTCTCACCCATAATTTGAATGTAAGCACTGTACCTCCTACTTCAGAACTCAGATTGAGGTAACTAGTGTCACTGAATCCCCTCACAAATGTTACCTTGCTCACACTCAAGCAGCATGTCAAATCCTAAAAAATGATTGAATGTGTCTCCAAAATGAAACTTTATTCTTTATTATATTCCATTCAGATTGATGTACAGTAGGGCCCCACTTTACAGCGTTTTGCCTTACGGCATTCCGCTAATACGGCGATATCAAATTATGACCAAAATTTGCTATACGGCAAGTGGTCTTTCAAATACGGCGCGCCCCACCCAGTTTGTTTACATTCTCCGTGAGCACATCTATTATGTCTGGAAACTTTCCAAAATTTCAAGTGTTTTAAAGTTATCGTGTATTTTATATGTACTCTGATAATTATGCTTATGTGTACCTGTACCTAAATATACACACTGTGCTGGCATGTAGGTACACATTAAAATCACTAAGAGTCTCTCTACTCATGATGCCATAGTAATACTATGTAAAAATAATCTCTCTTGGTCACATTAAATGTTTTATTTTATGTTAATGAAGACAGTTTCATTAATCCATCTATGATATTTTCTTCAAAATTATATAAGAAACACGTTACATAGCATATGAACATTATACATTCACCCACAGAATAAAAATTGATATAAATATGAGATTTGTTTACAAAGCGGCTCTGTAGGAGTGCCGGAAGAATTACGTTTTCTCTAGTCAAACGCTGGGGGATAACTGTAGATAAATATTCCTTTCATTTGCCTTCACTCTATATATAGCAGTTCACAACCCTCATGGGTTTAGTGCTTTTTTATTATGATTATAATAATAATAATTTGCTATAATAACTTGTAATAATAATCATTTGTAATAATAATTTGTAATAATAATAATAATAATTTGTCAGAGCATCATTCCTTCTAAAAATTACATGAGAATGGAAGGGTTGGTCTTTATTTATTCTACTGTACCACTGTGGAGACAACTTATACACAGTGTATAGTGTTTGTATGAATGTTTATGAGCCATAACCAGATGCATCGTCTGTTTGTTTACATAGTGGGTGGGGTGGCCAGGCTGGCTTCCCTACACTACCCTACCTACCACACCACTTTCTACAAATAAATACTTTTCACCTTTCAACCCTACATTAATTAAGACTACAAATATTTTAAGGTAAGTAATGAGTGTATTGTACATGCATTTTATCACTCTATTTAAGCATTGTCGTGAATTATGTGTGGGTGGGGGTGGCCAGGAGGGCTACCACACCTAACTTCTTATATTAAATGCTACTCACCTTTTGCCCTACATTAAGACTACGAATATTTTGGGTAAATAATGAGTGTACTGTGTGTGTATTTTACTTTTTATTGTTTTTTAATGCCTAAGTTCTATTGCTAACTTAACCCTTTCAGGGTTTCCAACGTACTAGTACGGCTTACACACCAGGGTTATTGACGTACTAGAATGCCTAAATTCTAACGCCTTCAAATTTAGTGAGAGAAAGCTGGTAGGCCTACATATGAAAGAATGGGTCTATGTGGTCAGTGTGCACAGTATAAAAAAATCTTGCAGCACACTGCTTAATGAGAAAAAAAATCTCCGACCATGTTTTTGGTTTAAAACAGCGACTTTGCAGTGTATTTTCGTATGATATTTATGGTTGTATTTTAGTTTTCTTGGTCTCGTTTTATAGAATTGAAGACATATTACAGAAATTGAGATGATATTGATTGGTTTCATAATGAAAAGTACCTTGAAATTGAGATCAAAGTAGCAGAAATGTTCGATTTTTACCAAATTTCCAAAGTAAACAAATCATGCCAAGCGTCCAATACACGTCAACTGGTGAGTAATATTCTTTCACAAGTGCACTGATATTATTTATACCATTTCTACACTAAGGCAGTAGTCTGCATAACAGTAAATCTTCTATTTTTTGTGAGAATAAAAATTCAAAGTGGAAAGCAAAAGAGATGTAAGAGGGGCCTGGGGACATGACTAATGAACAGAGAAAATGTTATTTTAGTGCCAGGAATGTCTATCTTGCTTATTTTGGACCCTATTTGGAAATTGGTATCTTCTGAAATTTGTGTGAAATGGGCAAAGTTGCCAATTTCTGACCACTTTATTGGATACTTGAAATCGGTAAATGGGTGGTTTCTTGTATTCATTTGATAGAAAAAATGGAGTTCTAGTGAAATAGATATGATTTTTGTCAACTAGTACACTTAAATTGGCCAAAAATAGGGCTCAAATTGGGCGAAATCGCCAATGCGTAAACATCATTGAGACTGCTAACTTCGAGAGAGCATAATTCCGTAAGTTTTCAATCAAATTTCATACTTTTGGTGTCATTATGATCGGGAAAAGATTATCATTTCTTAAGAATTTTTTTTTTTTTTTTTTTTTTTTCCAAAAAATTTTCGACCCTGAGAATGAGTTTAGGAGAGTTCCTCTCGACCCTGAAAAGGTTAATATATGTTAGTGTAAACTTGTTATTTGGCATTTATATGCATTTATAAGTGGAAAAAATGGCGTTCTGCTTTCTGGCGAAGTCTGCTTTCCGGCAGTAGCCTGGAA